GGGGGGGGGGGTATTGTAAAATAATTGAAACACACACTCATTGTGCAATCTTCTGTGTCCATGGGCGTTCTAAACGTTACCATCCGTGCCCAAGCGATAACCAGTCCCAAAATCCTGTCGGTTAGGCAAATCAAATATAAAGCCTAAAAGGACCTAAGGGGAGGACGCTGTACTCCTGTTTCCTCTCCAGAGCTCATGAATCAGGATCCTAAATGCTTACCAACCAAAATTTTCTTGGTTCAATATTAATTTCAGTTCTGCTAGACCTGCCCAATCAATCTTAATGTAATCATCTTTATAATTCTCGGAGTACCAAAGGTTGTTGAGTTCATCAATGTCATTGGAAGTTCAGACAAAATATAGACACTACTAGAGCCCATTTTCTTCACATTTTCCTTTGTAACCATCGGTCTCACCTCACAAGATACTCCGGCCATTGCTATTTAGAATTCAAACGCCGTCAAAACTACCAACTATCCGACAAAACTGAAAATTATTAGAAAACCAAACAAGTATTTTCGGAGCTTTAAAGCGAAACTCATAAGCTCTGAATTATTGATTATTGGATTTATACATTCGCATTTAGAAATATATGACCACCAGTGAAGCAATTTTCGCTACAATTAATCACTAACCCGGTGGCCAACTATTCAAGAAGCAACCAATTCCACCTTAAGGGCGTTTTTATTGTCAACAAGGAAGTAGTTTGAATTTCAGACTTTTTCTGCATTCTTCCAGTGATTGAGTCATTTGTAGCTTCATCAAATTCTCTCACTTCATGGACTAATATTGGGGTATTTCGTTTTCCACAGCCCATGGTTTAACTTATTGTGAACCGAATAATACAAAGAAAATAAATTCTAAATTATACAAATCTAATAGATCGACTACACCCCTCATTATTTGCATATTTAACAGTTGCCTACCGAAGCGATGGTTTGAAATTTGCCGTCAATTAGACAGTCATGAGCGCGAAACAGATGCAATTTAGCCATAAGATGACACCGCATATCTGACTATAAAATTGCACTTCAAATGTCTCATTATTTGGAGAACGCACTTTAATCCATCATTAAAAACAACTTAAATCGTAATTGATCTCTGTTGCTAATATTGACCTGGTCTTAACATGTAGAACACTACTAATCCATCTACATGGCATTTTCTAGAAGATTCTTAATAAATTTAGAAGATGAAGAACAGATGGAATTAACAAATAGGAGGAAATGATCTCAAAATGCGTTAAGTCATCGAAAAGGAAGATCCGAGTTTCAAAGATTGAAAGTCATTACCTTTCCCGAAGTAGTAAGACATTCAGAGATACATAGTCCCTAAGGTTTTGTGGATTCATAAGCTAAGCCATTGCTATTATCAATAACTTCTAAAAACCTCTTTTACCATCCTTAGTTGAGAGAAGAAGGCCCGATTTCTATTCCCCTATTAATCAGATGCACTTAACCTTTGTAGAGATGCGCACTAAACTCGTGACCAAGTAAACAATCATTAAAAACCTCCATTTTCTACTACAATAAAGACAAGCATATAGCGTGAGATCTAATCAAAATTAGATACAAATAAGTGTACATAAATATGTAGGGGAAGGTGGCACTGGCCTATATACATTCGCTAGGGAAAAGGAGGAAGGGGGGTAGGAATATCACAAGGGTTTTACATTTAATAGACTCGATCAAAACTCATGCTGCTTTCAACATGATTATTGATCGCTCCAGCAGTGACAGGCAGGCCACCACGTGCACCACCACGGTATCCTGGTGGTAAACCAGGTCCACGAGATTGATGTCTCATTCGTTGCTCCTGTTGTTGCCTTTGCTGTTGCCTAGAAATGTATTCGAGATAGGAAGCGCCATTGTGGGAAAGGTAAGACAAATCACCGGGAGGAGGGTCTTCCTGGAAGAATTCGTGCGCGAGAGCCTGGTCGGCGGTTAGACGCTGAGACGGATTGCAAACGAGCAAACGATCGACTAAATCAAGCGCAGAAGGAGTTGTTATTGATGGACCTAGGCGTTCCCGAAGGGTACGTCTACACTCCCACTGGACGTTGGTAGTTTTTTTATAGAAGTCTAAATGTTCAACACCCGGCCATAATTTTGGCGATATTGATCCACATAGAGCAAGAATGAGTTTGATTTGGGCAAGTTCATTATCACCTTGCAAAATGGGACAACGGGTCCAGAGTTCAGCGATAATACAACCAGCGCCCCATATATCAACAGGTTTTCCATAAGATCGATCTGTTAAGAGGACTTCGGGAGGTCGATACCACAAAGTAACCACTGTTGCTGTATACTGTGGACGTTTGTCCTTTCTCATTGGTTTTGCTGCAAACCGAGCTAGACCGAAATCGGCAATTTTTAAGTGTCCACCCCCATCAATCAATATATTTGATGCCTTCAAATCACGATGCAGGATGTCGTTACTAAAGAAATGTTAACATAAAAACGAAATTATAAATTACGAATGAAGGTACTGGATTCCAGTTAAGAGTTGCTTAGCGATGCTTTTCCTAACCGGTAAAGTTAGGTCGGCTTTTTGAGTAAGAAGGCCAGAGAGATCATGGTCACAAAATTCAAAGAGCAAGAAAAAGTCATAACGAGAGGAGTTGGGATTATTATCTAGTTGTAGAGTTAATAATTAATATTGGAAACATACTGCGTTTGTGACAAATTCCATGAAGACGTACTATATTTTTGTGATTCAGCTGTTGAAGTATAATTACTTCGCGAAGAGATGTCAAAGGAAACTAAAAATAAAGAAAACGCAAATAAAACATACTCCTTCGACTTCTTTCTCTGTTCGCAGGCGCTTGACAGCATATATCTTATTAGTACGTTTCTCTCTAACTTTAAAGACCTCGCCGAATGTACCTTGACCGACTTTTTTAATATTTTCGTATTCTTCAATAGGAATGGTTTGTAAATGCTGTTCCAAATCTTTTTCGATGGATTTTAAAAGCTCCGTAGAATCAGATTCTAAATCCTCAACAATTGAGGTCACAGCAACATCCTCCATGATAAAAGCAAAGAAAGGTAGGCGCAGTAAAGTCTAAAACCGGCACAAACTGGTTAGTTGCTTTAAACAAAAATGACAAGGTTATGAATATAATTTTGTTTATAATATATCAATCAACACTTTCATAAACTTTCATAATTGGCCTCACTTAATTTGTTTTCGTAAACGTTTATTATAACATTATTTTTAATTGAATTTCCACTACGAAAATTTAGTGAAGTTTTATAAACCCTGTTTGAATTTTGCAACTCCAAAAATTGCATCACAACTGAACTTTAAATTCAATCCATAACCAAATGATTACTTTAAGCAATACGTGCCAACCTACACCTGATCATCACAATAATTTATTTATTTATATCAAATGGCAGGCGTGTTGATAGTTATCATTAGGCCTGGAGCTGACTTCGGGGCTTCACAGAGAGGAGAAGGGACATCAAAGTGACAAAAAGTCGAGAGGGGGAACAGAATAATGATTCACAGAGGTAAAAGAGACAGACACAGAGGCATAAAAATGGTAAGATGAGTACTGTGAAGGGGTCGAATATGAAAAGTTGTTGGGACATAGAAATTTTAAGTCAGAAGTCAACTGCCGATCAATAGACTTTTTGCCATATAAGTATACGTTACGTATGTGTGCGTGTGTGTGTGTGTCTTTATTTAAATTTCATTCACCCAGATGAGGAATAAGGACTCAACAAGACAAAATCTTTTATGAAAGTCTTCTGCATGCTAGTGCCAACCAATCTAGTCATCTGTCTACCAATAATAAGTAATTCAATGTACTAAGTTTCTTATTATTTTATTTAAATTATTTCACGTCAATATACAAGTAAGAAACGAAATTAGCCACTACGTGTGGATATACGAATATTAATCAACATAAGATATAATTTAAAGGGAGAAAAGAATAATTGTATGCTCGTTTTGTAGTTATTTGACGGAAAATTGATAGTGCATAAAATACTAAGTAAGCTAATGTCAATTTTAGTTGTTTATTCGCTTATAAATCCCCAGAGAACCATAGGTTAGTCAAATTACAAGTAGAGATATTGAACCACACAAATGAAATTACAGTGGCATGGGAAACAATGTAAGGTGATTTCATGAATGCTTACCACCACAGAAAATTTAGTGTTAGAAATGAGTCTCTTTAAAATGAGAAAGAAAACTAAATTTTCATCAGAAAATAAACTGACAACAACAATAAAACCAACACTGGCATTTTAACCCACATTGGTATTGGTAAAATCAATAGGTCAAACATTTCATTAATGGACCTCTGAAAAGTAGCAACTATTAGTTTAAATCTGTTAAATAAACGGGCGTATTTTGAAACAACTTGTTTCAAGGTCAACTGATGCACATACATTACGAGATACGAGAAATTTGTAAACTAGTTAAGAACCGAAATTTTAAAGAAGCTACACTTTCTTTGCACAACTTAGAAGAGAAAGCATTTGCTACTGGCGACGTCATTGGTAACGCAGCTGCTTTTAACGCAACAGTTTTTAGAAATATTTTTGCTAGAGGGCTTTAAGTCATCGCGCGTTTTTAAGTCTATTACCGCTTTTGATCAAGCCCCAGAAGTAATTTATTTTTGGTATGATTCATTTTTAGGCTGAGAGCTTCAAACTATGTTTTTGTAACTTTCTTACAAAAATTGTACACTATAATGGGAATTGTCTTAAAGAATATTTCTTTGATCTTCTGGTATTTTCTCTCTTTCTTATTTATTCCAACTTTAGGAAACGTCTTATTCGGGATTCGTTTGCTCCAAATCTGCAAAACTTAAAGAGGCTTGGTTGCGTCTTTTTAAAAAGGTTTACTGAAGGCATTTACAATTATTTTTAGATTATCACTAATTCATCGAATGATCGGTTGAAAGTTACTGTCCCAGAAATCTATGCAAAGCAGTTATTTGATCAGCTGGCAACTAAACACTCTCAATCAGTTACCAGTGTTTTATGTTCCACTTTGGCTACTATTATTGGTCTCACTTCAACAGATGATTTGCGTGAACGATTTCTCAATTTTCTCACCAAATTACTGGCAGAAAAGCTCTCTTCCAGCACAAGGAGGGCTGAATTTGTCATAATATCTGCAGTGTCTTCTAGTATAGCTAAGTTACTGCGAAGTGTTGAAATGGAATCAAAATATGAAAGTAGTATTTTCCATCAATCTCTAGATTCTTTTAAGATTCAAACAGGTTTTTTGAGTATGCTCTTCAAATTCTTCTCGCAGGTTTGGATAATATTGGCCGGTACAAACCAATTAAAAGTGCTTGTAAACTCTTGTCGGCTTCTTGTAAATACGTCTCCACGTGTGATTGGCCAAAAACACAGGTTTATCCCGCCTTTACTTCGATAATAACTCCTTTCTTTATAGCTAGTTATTACATATCTGCAAACATTAACCAATCACAAAAATTCATCGTTAGCCAGTACTGCGAGGGTTGCATATATTGATCTCTTGAAGCTTGTCAGTAAATCAGATTCCATTTCTGATGATGAGATAAAGTTAGTACTTAGTGAAGTTATTCCATTTCTTGCGGATAAATATGTTTTGGAGACTTTGCCCACAAGAATACATTCATTTCGACTGAAGTGTTTGAGTATTCTACTACCAGTAAGATCATAAATTCAACATATTAATAACTTTGTTCTAGTTGTACGTGAAGCACTCTTCCAATCATGATTCAACACAGATTCTGGCTTTGTCAGTTCAAGAAGTAACACGGATGGTTGATGAAATTTCAAACAACCCCTTACCTCCAATTGCTTACTCTCTCGTAGACCTGATGAGTGCCTTGTTAGATCTCTTGACGACGTTGCCTGAGATGCTCTCATCGCCGATGCGGGAGTCTTTGTTATATTCACTGAAATTGGGGATAGTCTCCTGCTTTCAGGCTTATCCACGACTCTCCCAGACTTCCACTGAATCTATCGCTAGGGCAATAGTCAAGATTATCGAGAAGATGGAGGATGATAAAGATGCGCTTGTAGTTCTTGACGAAGCTTGTGAGTACTTCATTATTATAGCTTGTACATGCTTTACTTGAGAAATTCATACCAACTTGTAAACGCATTATGGACTATGCATATTTAACATTCTTCCCAGCGATGCATGTGATATGTGCTTCAATTCCTAATTTAGTGTCTTGAAATCATTGTAATTTTGTGGTGATTATCTTTAAAGTTATACTTTGTGAGATGATTTATTTAGAAGTTGTCACACCCATGTCTCAGCTAAAGGAGAGGCCCTATTTTATAAAATAGCAAATTTCATTTCCGATCTGGAAATGAAATATGAATGCGTAAATATGCGGATAAGCTTAAAAGTAATCAAAAGTATGAAAAATAGAGGTGCGCGTACTTCAATTTGGTCTGAACGACGGATTCTGGAGAACTTCGTGCTCTACAGCACATTGCCTTATCCTCTTCTCCATACTCTACACCAATCAATACAATTCTGGGAATGTATAAATTTTCCAATCCTCATATTAGGTAGCGAGTGATGTCATGAAGTCTCTCTTATTAGAGACACAAATCATATCAAACTCTTTATTAATTGAACATAATTAGTGCGGCATTTGCCATTCAGCTCACTGGGTTTTTTGTCGATGGGCATCTGACTTGTCACAGACGCGCTTGCCAATGCACAGTAGTTAAGGACAGCAGTTTTATTTAATATATTTATATTAAATGGCAGGCTCTATGATAGTGTTCATTAGCCCCTTAGTTGACTTTGGGCCTCACAGGGAGGGGAGAGGGACAGAAGAATGATTTACGGATATAAAAGAGAGACAAAGGTAGGGAGCAGGGTAAGACGTGTACTGTGGAAGTGGTCGAATATGATATACAGTGGGGTCATGGTAGTTTGAAATCAACTGCTGGTTTATAGACTTTTTACCGTATGAGTATACATTGCCCAGGGTGCACCACGTGGAGGTAAGTCTATCGCTCACCCCTGGATTTAGTATATGGAGTTGAGAATACTTCCTTGTTCATTATTCAGCCTACTTTATAGATGAATTTACAGTTTTATATAATATTTATATTCTTACTTAAATCATTCGATTTCTTGTAAATTTAAATAAACATCTCCAAAAAATCCCTTGCTAGAAGTTAACATAGAAGACGTCTGCCTTGTTTTAAGAATTGTCCCTTTACATATTAGATAAAAAATGTTATAATAATAAGGATAATCTGCATGTTAATTAACTTTATCATATTTTATGGTAATTGGCTTACTTTGAATTACTTCTCAGTAACATTTGCTATCTTGAAAGTAATCACTTTTTTTCGCGTTAAAGTTATTCCATTAATTTTTTTATGGATTTCCTTTTAGTCTACCACATTGTCCTTCAGACCTGTTCGCACTCGCCTTTCAACCTCGATGTCAGTGAATCTGATGACGATGATTCAAATGGAGCTGAAAAGGACACAGAGGATAACAGTCTTGAAAAGATTCGACAACCCAACGTTTCTTCTCTGCCCGAGGTGGCGATTCCACTGCCTTCCTTCAGGGAATATCTTCCACTTTGGCGATATCTTTTGGGCCTTTCCTTCTTGGGTATAAGAAAAGAGGTAGTTCTAGTTGCTCGAATTGGTTTTCAAATCCTTGGTTTTAGTCAATTCGACTGAAAGTGCACCATACCTTTTGTGTTTTGCGTGATTTGACTGATTGAGATGCTTTATATAACTGCATTTTGCTGTCTAATTGCTAGTCTGAGTTCTAGGCTATGAAAAGGGAGATGGTATTGGTGGCTGCAGTGATCGTGAGGATGAAATGTCCGGTTTCCCCCTCCCCCCCCCCCCCATATTTCGAGGTCTATATGTAAAGTAGTTCTGGATGCTACTGTTATCCATATTTGTTTATCTCCGTCCATTTAATGGATTTATTTTTCCAAATCTACGAAAAATACGGAAATGGCACACACAAAATTTATATATGTTTTGATTTGCTGCTCACTGATCATCAGCGGAAGAGACAGACGCACATACTGAGATGGCATGCCACTTTGCCACTACGAGAATTATACCTTTCAAGGCCTAGGCAACTATTATGAATAATCTCGAACTTAGTTTAATTAAGGTAGTTTTGTCAGTTATATCCAATATTTCTCTTCCCAACTTCTTTCTGTTTAACGCGGACTTGATGCATAACCATGATATTATAAAATAGAGAATTTTGAAAAATAGATCACATCAATTTAAGCACTTTAAGAAACAGGCTTTTACTAGTTGACCGTTTAACTATATAACCCTAGTTATTGAGATTTAATCCACACTTTTTAGCTGTTAATAGACCTCAAGATTTTTTTAGGCGAACCACACACTCATTCCCAAACACTGTTCGGCCTTGGTTCTGCGGTTCCTCCTTGACTCCTCCCTGGTGATTGTGAAACGTCTGGATTTCTCTTATGATGAGGTGGGCTCAGATACTACTGATTTGGAGACTCAAGTTGACGTCAAAACTCCCCACGACGTACTGATACTCTCAAATATTGCGGCGTTTTTAGAGTAATTTTGCATTTGGTACATGATTTTAATAAAGTGGGCACAGTTTCTTAGGAACGCTTTTTTTCCAGACATATTCTACCGGAGTGTACAATTGAAAATTTCAAAGAATCATTGCTCTCTTTTCTACAAATGTGTTTAGAACTTGTTACAAAGTAAGTCTTTTTAACCATTCATTTGCTCTTTATTAAGCGACACACTAGGAGAGAAAACTCTTTTGCTCAACTGATCATAGTCGTTTCAATAAGGAAGTAAATTCACTTTCATGGATTATGATAGGAGGTAAACGATTGGCTGCCTAGTAAGCCAATAATTGCATCGATATGTTCTCCACAAATGGTCTTACTTACCGAGGTGTGGTTATGAGAATCAGATATTCCTGTGCATTGGTAATGAAGTTTTGGGTTTCTTTCGAGTTAATAGAGACAAATATGAAGAAATATTTATATTTTCTTGATTCTTAAGTCACTGGAACTGGGTAGAATTTTCAAATACCCATTTTGAACATTAGAGTATCATTCTAAGACACCTCTATTTACGAAAGCCTTTGATAACTAACATGAGGATGCAATACAAAGTGTTATAACTCTTAAGGGTACTATTATTTTGTGATTATGAACTGCATTCATTGAATATTGTGAGTTCTGTTTATAGCATTGACTTTATTTCCATTGTGGTGAAACCTGTTCGTGGATTCTAATGGTCAATGTGCAAAGGTTAACGTAGAACCTAAAAAAACAATACTTTATGCAGTTTATCAAACAAAATGGCCTATTTATATTCGCACCGGCTCGCTGTTATTAAGGTGGACTTCGTTGAAAATTCGAAGTTGGCTTGGAAAACCAGGTATCAAGTACTGAACAAGAATAGTTTTCCCTACTCTTTCACCAGATTGAGATTCTAATTGCTCCGTTTGTCTTTTGAAACTTCTCATTTTATCAGGTGCTAACTCTTCGTGCTGACGCATAGAGTACAATGCATGTTAAAACACATTCACACTGCTTCTTTCATCATTCACAGGTATCCGTTACTAAGTGGTCTCTACCGTCTACTTAAGCTGTCTATTCTATTAGCAAAACGGTCAGGTTTCTTTCAGTCCAATGAATCCGCGGTTGAAACCCAACTTCTACCATTTGCCCACTTTCTTATTGATTCATTTCCACCTGCGGGAGCCTTGTCTGCGGATGATCTCAGTATAGCTCGAAGTTCATGTCTTCTTAGTTTTCTGCCATCAGTGCTATTCCACTCAAATATCACCCGAATTGGGCATGTTATCACTTCTATCTCGCAATTGGCCACCATCCAGGGCCGTGGTGCTTCATTGGCAATTGAAACTGTATCCGCCATTGAGGTATGGTTAAAAGGTATGTGAGTTTCAAACACCCTTATGTTTCCCTACTTAGAAAACAAGGCGTATTCGGATTTCTATCCAACTGTATTTTCTGCTCTCGTTCCGGCATTGGTTAACTTATTGAACGCAAATCCTGATGAACGAATAGCTACCAAGAGCGCGCTTCCTCCTATTGGTCGGCGTTTCTCTCGCTCATACCGAAGGACGGAATTACCCCGCGCTTTAAAAACTCTCTCTAAACAACCAACCGCATCAAGCTCTGACTCCCTTATTAGAACAGCTCAGATAAAAGCGATCGAACTGATTGGTCAAAATGTAGCTCACTGGAATTTCCTCAAAACGGTATGCTGTTTGACTAAACAAATATTTCTAGGGAGAGACATCGATTGAATCTGATGACCGATTCAATGAAATTTTGCCTACCGGGAAAGGCGTTTTTAATGATCTTTGTCTGTGTTTACCTTTTCCCGATCTAAGACCCAGCATTCGTCTCTCCGATTTGCGTCTTTTCACAAGAATTCTGCATATTCTCTTATGGCGGCCTAAGTCCTCTAATAACGCAAATATCGAGGGTAATTCAGGATATATAATTTCATCTATACTGCTTACAGCTTCTAAAGGTTTTTCAAGGCAAACGCGAGTAAGTGCAGCTGAATATATTCATGAATATATCGTTTTTGCGCTAAACACTCAACTAGCAGCTTCGAACGAACCGATCGAAAGCAGCGATGCATCATATTGGCAACTTCTCTTTCAACTGGTGTTCGTATTGGGAGCTGATGATGATCCAGTAAGGAAATAATTTGCATGATAGGATTCTTTTAGTTGATCCGTCGATTATTTCGCAGTCTAGCATTCCAATTGGTTCATTGGTATGCGGGGTATCTAACAGCAGGTCTTTGTGAAGCTAAGCTTCTTCTTAAAACCCTTCTGCGACTACTAAAACTAGTAGCATCTGAAGATGATATGTTTAGCATTATTGAATCCTCTTGGCCAATACCTGGTAACTTTCTGAAATTTTTTCGGCTATTTTCCCATTAGAATCGATTGACACGTTACGAACAAAGCTGGCATCTGTTTGTCTCCGAGATTTTTTGCATTGGATGAATGTTGAAACTCCTGGTACCAAGAGGCGTCGATCATCTCTGGGTGATGAAGGTTTGGATGACCTCCTGCGACAGATTTTGGATGGTCTTTGTAGACAAGGCTCAGCTTCTATTGTTTTCAATGATGTAGTCGCGCCTTTATTAACGTAAGTCGACTTCACATTGGCAACTTTCTAATTTTTTTCATAGTGAACGACCAGAACTTACAAGGAAATACATCTACGTTCTGATTGATGCCTTCAAGAGACCAGGACAATGTTTTTCTCCAGCTGTTTTGAAAATGGCATTTGATTTACTTATCTCTTTAATAAAGAACTCTCCCAATGATTTGACATTTGAAGATTATTCTCCGGCTTTAAAGCGACCTCGTCTAACACGAACAAGTCAAAATAAGTCAAATGTTGATTCGCTGAAACCTCAGACCTGGGAATCTGCTTCCGTCTCTTCTTGCGTAAAATCTTTTCTTAGAGAATGCAAGGATTCACCAAATAGAAAGCTATTCCAAGAACTACTTGAACAAATTCTTTCTGACGCGAATTTGCAGTTGATTCCACAAATTCTACCTGATCCTGAATCACTTATTTCAATGTAATTGCATATTGTTTTTAAACAGCATGTGTAGGCTTGGAGGTAGTATTGAGAACCCAACATCATTTATCGATTTTCTGGATAACTGCTCATGGCTGATAAGCTCAAATCTCTTGAGTGCCTCCAAATTCCTTGAAACTATCGATTCAGCGAATTGTTCGGTTATCGCGAAGTTAGAGGCTTATTGTTCATCTCCTGAAAGGTGTCTACTTAGTGACATTTTATTGGTTGAATTTAGACGAACTTCGAGAGGATCAGCCACTGTTTTAAAATTTCTTCGCTCCTTACTCCCTTCTAAACCAAGGATTGAATTAAGTAGTATCTTCGCTGAAGGTCACTCAGTATGGAGCTTTTTGGTCTTGTGTCTATTGAATCCAGTTAAAGTAGGTTTCAAAACGGATGAAAGTATAGTAAGTTGATTGTTGATTAAAGTAGACATCTTTTAGGCTATCGATATGCTCAAACTATTTTCAAAAGGTGACATTACCTTTGTTAAGGGATCGATTTCCCAATTCCTTGAATCAGAAGGGTCGGTTTGTTTTCTTCGATGAAATATCACTATAATTTCACTTAGGTTTTCAAATGATTTGTTTGATATCGAATCAAATTCGATAACTGATGATAATACCACCGTCCTTTTTAACATATCCTTATTAATTAATAATATTAAAGAGGATAGCGATCTTCAGACTCTTTTTTCGCATTACGTTAACAAGAAAATGTGTCAAGACATTCTTAATATGTTGAAAGAAGCAAGTTTATTTGCATCTTTTTTTAAATAACATTGAAATTTCTAGGAATTAACGATCACACCTGATGTAGTGTCCAAACTCATTCATTCTGTCTTCTCGATTTCTACATTCTTCCAATATCAGGTGAGTAATTGGTATGGAAATTCTATTTCGACTTTAATTGTAGGTTTCATTTGACAAGGAATTAATTTTTAAGTCCATAAATCAATTAAATAAATGTGAAATTCATCCGGTGGCACTTTTGTCAATTTTGGGTTTGAAGCAAGAAAACGATACACCACTTGAATCCCCAAATACAGTGATTGCAACTTTACTTAAGCTTTTTGCAATTTATTCAAGAGGATCTAATAAGTAAGTATTTGTTAATTTCATGAGTATATGCGATTACTTAACCGATAGCCAATCAAATTACTGTCCGTTTGTAGGTTAAGAACGAGCCAATTGTGTGAAGGGGTCACTAAAGTGTGGAAAAAACACATCGAGACCCTTCTCAGATTCAAAGACTTTGATAGTTGTCTGTTTGTTGATCTCCTGGAGGCAATTATTTCATTATCGCCAGTTGTGAGTTGCTAAAATCATTTTGTTTTTGGCGTTCATATTATTTTGTTATCGAACTGAAACCGACATTGAACTTTTGTAGGAACTGGACAGAAATATATTCATCTCCGCTTTCTTACTTCTCCTCAAAGACGAAACGCTGAATGTGCCCACAAAGGTGAGATTTAAGGTGCTTCAAAAGGATGGGGTGCCAGATTACTTCCCCTACCTATTCAAATTCCAGCTCTGCTTCCAGCTTCAGCAATCTTTAATACTACAATGGAATAGGGAAAAAAGACCGTTGCAACCAATTATGATTATTAGTAGCGGTCTTCTTAAGGAGAAAGGAGATCTAGATTTATTCTTGTGCTGGAGATGATGTGTAAGTTCATATAGTCTTGGCTTAAGTGCTATCTTTTAGATTAGGCCAATTGTAATTGGTCGTCGATTCACCTCAAAGTGACTCAGCGAGAGGATATTGAATATATTTCTTTTAGTGCAGTTCCTACTGCTTAATTTGGGGAAGTGAGGCCTCATGAAAATAATTGAATTATTGGGTTGGCAACTAAGTCATTGCCGTTTTTGTTGACAGATTCACTCTATACTTTCTTTTGTTTTGTTAAGGTGGCCAGAGCATCTAACCTATATTTTTTCTTACTGTATGGGCTTCTAGGTTAATTATTAAAAAATTTTTTTGTTTAGTTATTTAGTTTTGTTTTTATCCCAATTTAAAAATGAAAGAACAGGACGTGCACTTCCGACACATTTTATTGTATTACTTCCGAAAAGGCAAGAACGCATCGCAAGCACAAAAGAAGTTATGTGCCGTATATGGAGATGAAGCCTTAAAAGAAAGGCAGTGTCGAAATTGGTTTGAAAGATTTCGTTCCGGTGATTTTTCACTGAAAAATTCACAACGATCTGGCAGCCCAGTCGAAGTGGATGAAACCCATATCAAGGCCATTATCGATTCAAATGGTCACAGCACAACACGAGATATTGCAGAGAAGCTCAATGTGTCGCATACATGCATTGAAAAAAAATTAAAAACCCTTGGTTATGTCAAGAAACTTGATTTATGGATCCCTCACCAGTTAAAGGAAATTCATTTGACGCAACGGATTAGCATCTGTGATTTGCTACTGAAACGCAATGAGAATGATCCATTTCTGAAGAACCCAGTTACTGGCGACGAAAAGTGGATAGTTTATAACAATGTTACTCGCAAGAGATCATGGGTGAAGCAAGATCAACCAGCCCAAACAGTATCAAAAGCAGCAGAGATTCACCAAAAAAAGATTATGCTGTCAGTGTGGTGGGATCATAAAGGAATTTTGTATTTTGAACTCATGCCGCAGAACCAAACGATAAATTCAAATGTGTATGTTTAACAACTCGAAAAAACTGAAGGATGGATGCAATTGAAGATAAGCGGCCGGCATTATCAAATCGGCGGAAGAGTGTTGTTTTCCATCATGATAACGCAAGGCCCCACACATCTTTGGTTACTCGTCAAAAATTATTGGAACTGGGTTGGGATGTTTTGTCACACCCACCCCATATATAGCCCTGACCTTGCGCCTTCGGATTACCATTTGTTTCTTTCCATGCAAAACTCTTTAAATGGTAAAATTGTTAACAACGCGGATGATGTCGGATCACACCTAATTCAGTTTTTTAATAGCAAAGACCAGACATTTTACGAAGGGGGAATTTTTACTCTGCCAGAACGATGGAAAAAGGTCATCGACAAGAACGGCCAATATCTAATTGAATAAAGTTATATTTTTAAACAAAAATTCCGAATTTGCCTTCTTATTTGAAATTGGCAATAACTTAGTAGCCAACCTAATAGATTGTAAGGTCAGGTGGACTCACGGGATGCTTTTAATTTCTGCAAAGGGGGATACATTCGATTGCTATATAGTAGCCATCAATTACTACGAATAAATTAGATGCGTGGTTAAAAATCATTATCCCCGAAATAAGTAAATCGCCATCTCTTCGGTACTAAATGAGATGAGCGAATGGAATTATTTGCTTTGCCTCTAGTTTTTACAACCCTCCTCTATCTCAGGTGAAGAATCTGGATATGCTGGCCTTCTTCCTTCAATCTGATATAACCCCAACAAACTTTAATCTATCAAACGAAAGGCGATATGAAATTGTTGAAGCAGTCAAATACCTATTTGCCTCTAATCTTCCACTTGACCAACATGAAATCGCTTCAAGTCCAACTAAATTAGCTCAATGTTCAACTCTCTTGAAATCGGTTTGTTGAATTACCGCTACTTTAGCCATTTTAGTAGTTGTAGACTTAATTGTTCTTTTTTAATAATTTTATAGGTATTATCCCTTCTGAAAACTCTAAGTTGTCCGGAAGCAATTCTTATGCTGACAATGACATCCTGCAGATACGATGATCATTTCATGGACGAGGAGTTGGAGGAATCGTTGCGGATCGCGATGAAACGGTTAGATGCCTTTACTTCATCGAAGCACATCTTTAACATTCAATTGATTGTCGTGTTTTTCTTTCCCACAGAATATGGACTCGTCCTCTTGCCCAAGAACAACTTTTAGCTACAGCAATAAACTATTTTGACCAAGCTTGCTCTGAATCAATTCCTTCTCCAGGTTTTATCAATCTCTGGCATCGTTATATCCATAAATTCTTGAAGCCTCTTCTTCTTTCGGTTTCACCTTCAGCTCTTGAACGTCTTGCTGCTCGAAATATAAACAAGTGGTTGCAAATTCTTGAAGGCAACGCCTCAGAGGATGGAGTCCATGTAACCACACAGTGGTTTTGGAGGTTACTAAATCGTGTCGTGGCATTCTATCTCCTCGTAACAATCTACAATCGTTTGCCAAAGTCTGCTCTCCACGGATTGACCGCGGGGGGAGTAGGTTCAGTATTAAGAGCTTTTCTCGGACCATCGGAACTCGATCTCATTCAAAGCGGAAAAGTTAAGGGGACTGAGTTGACTGCTGCCATCATTAAGTACTATGCATCAACTGCAATTCTATGCTTCTCGAAGAACTCTCACAAAGCATTTTAAATATATTATCTTTCTTTTGTCATTAGAAAAGTACGCAGCACGCTTGAGGACCAGTTAAATCCCCGGCTTAATCCTCCTCTAACTGATGAGCTTGAAACCATTGCAAAAACACTGAAGCAAACTGTTTGGTCCGCTAGTTTGTCCTGTCTAATTGCGGCTGTAAGTGCAACTCAATCGCAGGAAAAGGCCTTCAATTGTATACTTGTTCGCGACTCTCTGACACGTTTTCTTCCAAACAGGAGCTTCACTTTTCCCAGACGTGTATGACATATCACACATCCAGCCAACGTTTTAAATAATATGCTGACTTTCATTTATTTATTTATTTATTTATTTTTTTGCTTTTTTTAGAGGTCGGGGAAATATCGATCCGCTTTTATCGAGTTGGGAGAACGATTCTGGCTGCCATCAGAACGGGAACCGTATTTCGGTAAAATAGATGTGCAAACACAGGGAATGGATTCATCTTTGCAACAAAGAAATAAAAGTGGAGGACTTCTACTTGGAAGTAGTCTCTCTGTAGAGATTAATCGTTTTATGAGGGCTTCTGGAACACAGGTGAATTTTCAATTTGTGATTACTCGATTTTAATCAATTGTCCTCGGCAGAAATAGGAGGATTAAATATATCGCTAACTATAAGGTCAAAAACCCTCGAGCACGAATTTTGGTTGCTATGACATACTAACGTCATTTTGGTTTATTGGGGGGGGACGAAGAATTGGGCTTTTAGCATGATGTAATTAGCTCCATTAAATGTTTCAGATAATTCGCGGTTCCACTTCCTCAACTGATTTCAAGAAGCCTCTAAGTCCAGGAGTATCACCTCCATTATCTCAAATGTCTCCGAGTTTTCGTCAACTCGAGGAGGTGGAAGAGGAAACCAATTATGTTAATCTCGAAGTCGATCCTCTAAATATGACTTCCCTAATGATTGCGTTTATTGGTCTCCTCAAACGCATGTCACAATTGGGTTTGTTGAAGGTATGCTGGTTCTCTTGGCATCCTGTTTTTTTCAAATGTTGTGTACTTTCTTCGTTTAAATTCCATCTTTTTTTCACCTAGTCCAACGAAATGCCTCAGGTACTTAAATTCCTCTATGACCAATTCAACTCGAATCAAGAGGATTGCAATGTGCGAGCCTTCGTGGTTAAATTGGTTATCAACTGTCCTGAGGCAAGGAATTGCTTAATTTCATGTGTACTAATAGAATGCACTTTAATTCCACCTTTAATTCATTTTATTTTTCTACTTGAGTTCATATGCACAGTGTTTTGGAGTGTAATTGCCCAGTTATTTAAAATGAGTGCCATTATTCATACTAGTCCCTGCCTACAGTCAAGTTAAAGTTATGTATATTGTTTTGTAGACTTGTAGCGGATTGCTCCCTAAGCCTGACTGACTCAGAAATCTCTGTGGCAGATTCTCCAACACCTAGCTAGACTCCCAGAGCCAGCTAAGCTATAGACCAGCCATAAAGGAAACAGACGTGTAGCACGGAGCACGTTTATCCAGTACGAGTATTGCGAATAAAGTGTTCACGCAGGGAGCTACTCATGATCAGGATGGGGGATTAGGTTAAACAGACGTTGATGATTGGTCACTGTTTGTACGGTCGCTGCACACAGAGTTGTACGGCTGCACCTCCCAATCCTGGCGAGCAGACATGCAAGCAGACGATGACGCACAACGCGATAACGTGTCCCACAGTGATTATTTCCATTTTTATTACCTAAATCTGATTAATATGTTTGATTTAATTAAGGAAGGAGTAAGTGTGATGGGTGGATTTCTGTTCTGAAAGATGGGATGAGATTTCTCTTGAACTCGAGTAACATTCGCTATCAGGCAATCAGAGGGAATATCACTTTCCTCAATAAGGAAAGTTTCGTGACTTTGTAGTTCAATTGTTTGATTTTATTGCTTTACATGCGGCGATTTACCTCATTGTCATAACTCTCTAATGGTTATTTGATGTGGGCTTTGATTTCAAGGACTATCCTAACATATGTTGAATTGAACTATTACGCTCATTTGAAGGCATCACTGGTTGATCGGGGGAATGTTGACTTAATATACGATTAATTGCCTTCTTTCATCTAGCCTAGTGAACCATTTTTAAGCAGCGTTCATACTGACGTTCTCGATATGTTTAGTTGCTCCACACGTTCCTCTTTCGGCTATTAAGTTTTACCATTATATTTAGTTTATAAGCCTCCATTTAATTTAACTGGTCGCTTTGATGCGTAGGTATTCAAGCCCTTCTCCAAACACTGGTTTCCTCTTCTCCTCATATACGCATCCTCCAATACCGAAGCTCTCCTGGATTCCTGGGGTCTCTCTTCATTGGCCATTGATCTTTGCCTTCTTCTTGCCGATTGGAGTCGTTCTAGCATCCTGCCGACTATTGAAACGGAAAAGATGGCAGCTCAGGGAGTGCTCGCCTTCTTGGTGAAGTATGCGTGGTTCAGAGCCTCCGACGATGGGGTACCCGATATACCCGAAGGCGTAGCTCCGGCATTAAAGCACAATTTGGAGTTAATTCAATTATTGGCTGAGTCTTGGTTACCTGCTGGCGTGCAAATCCCTTATAGGCAAGCCGTTTGCTAGCAAAAATAGGCGCTTTTGCAATTAGATATGTACTGTATTCAGAATGGAAGTGTACGTGGACTTTATTAGTATGCAGGCGTATGCATATGTTGGTCGCTAAGCGGGTGAAGATTGTAAGGAGGGTAGGCTAACTACCTCACCAGCAAGTACGGAGGCACTTAGTAACAAGCGGAGAAATTCGAGGCTATAAGACGGAAGGGGTCATTGTGGCACTCCGTACTACTTCTTGATCCCTTCTGCTTTACTAAAACTGTACATCGCTAATATTATACATATATATATATATATATGTATATGAAAATTGTGCCTTCTCAGTCGTTGGAAGACATTACGGATTGAAGCACTAGACCGACTCGTCGTGGTTAGAAATCGGAAAGTATGACCTGAACGTCGTGGAAAGTTATGTACTGCAATCTCAGATATGAATCTTGAAACTTAAATTGTTGAAAGTGAGCTACTCGATTGGTAAATAGTGTAAAATCCGATTCTACAGATCGAATAGAATGAAATCCTTTGTTACCTTGTCATTACTCTCGATATCTTTTTTAATTTTTAGGGTTAGCCGATTTCAGTTACTTCCAGCAATTAGAAACTGGAATTTTTCTCTGTATTTCTAAGGGCATCAAAAATACCCTCTAATTCTACTTTGATAAGGCACTGATCTAGTCAACACACTTTTTAATTATTTTAACTTTCTGAATAACCCAATCATTATTTATTTATTTATCCTTTACCAGAGATCTCCTCGCTGAACTTCAGCAACGGGCTGATAACAAACGAGTAATCTTTACTCTTCATCTATTCAAGACTATTTTAATTTCTTGTCAGCGATTCGCCCCCGAAATCGATAACCTTCCTCTCTCACAGTTAGTTCCTTCTAATAATAACTGATATTTTGATCTAGATTTGTGTGCGCTCTTCTTATGAACATTCATCAAACCTCCAAAACCCTCCTAACGGCTGCTTGGGAGTGTTCAGCTCTTCTAGCTTCAAAGTGCTTCACTCCCCAGTCTTTTATTACTTCTTCGGGGGAATTTCTGAGAAGTCGAGGAGTGGATATCCTTCCACTTTCCGCATTTCCTAAAGATCTCCATCCTCTTATTAACGAACTCTGGTCGATGGTGACCGAACTCAATACGGTTCACCGTTGTAAACGACCTTCAGATACACCAGTCATGAGTGTGATTGAAGCTTCCTGTGCTTCCGCCTCTCATTGGTCTGTGCTGGCTCTGCATCTGGCCAATAGCCTTTTGGGAACGGGTATTCCGAAGAGTATTGAACCAAGCTCATTCGTCCATTGCTTAAGAGTGTTTACGAAACTGCTCGAAGACTTTAATGAAAATAAACTTGAATTTTCTCTGGATCAAGCAGCCAAGATTGAAGTTTTACAGAACATAGTCAATTCGAATGCGTTTGAGATTATTAAACTGGAGTAAGATGAGAACTTATTATTATTATTCCATGTTAGAAATGCGGTAGTTCTCTTTCATGGAACTATGTTAATACTTCGAATGGTCCAGCTTTTGAAGAATATCCCCCAAAATAGTCGTGACCTTAATATTGAAACTCGGAACTCGTTGGTTTTACGATTAATGAGGTTTCTTCTTTCGTCGTTGGCAAGATCGAATTCAACACCAAATTCCCGCAGAATCGCCTATAGAATCTTTATTGAAGTTAGGAAAAATGAGAAAAGCACAGGAACTCGTGAAATTATGGTAAGAGAAGTTAATTAGCTTAGTGCAGTTTGATGAAGCTAAACAGAAACAGTTAATTTTAAAGCTGACTTTTTACGTTCTAATATGTCTTTGTTCTGGTTAACCTGGCAGGCCATGAAAACCTTCTTGCTATCTTTTCAGGAGCTCTGCCACCTGGGTCTGTCTTACGGTCTATGTGCAGAAGATGACAACCAACTGCGTCGTCAACTACGAAAATACGTTTCAGAGCACTATTTCGATTCATCGCCCGTTCTTGGTTTATCTCCATCTCTCGCAAGATGTTTGCAAACTTTTCAATTATTAAGTGCTTCTCACCGCAGTTACACTGATAATCCGACGTTAGTGAGTAGCATTGGACGACATCTAATATCGACTAGTCTGCAGATTGTTCTTGAACCTGCGATTAAATCCGCTGAGTTTCGACATCCTTTTCGATCAGGTCTATTGGATCCTCATTACCCGTTTACAGACGCTAGGTAAGTGAAAGCCCCGATAGCCATCAAAGGTAGTTGGTTTGATGGAAATTAAAATCTTTTAAGCTATTCTTCCTTATTTTTTCTCTTATTCCAGTTTCTCTCGAACGTCCATCTCAATTTCCCAGTCTTTTCTCGATCCAGTTGTTTTTAGCGGAACTCAACAATTAAGGAGAAGTCAAACCCAACTTCTAGAAACCGCATTGGTGTCTACAACCCTCGATTTACAAGGGGATGATAGCACTCAAACACAACTTCTTACAACGCAACAGATACCATCAAATTCGCTCTCCACACAATTTGGTGAGACCCTATCGGATCAATCTGCACCGAGACAAGTATTCTTTCCGTTAAAGCCCTATAAAAAAGTGAAGAAGGTCGACTTTAAAAACGTAATCTCATATAAATGCAAAGTTTAAACAATCAGATTTAAAAGGGTTAGTATTCTTAAGCTATTGTCTATTCCAGCTATCGCCAGTCGAACAACTTCGCAGGAAATTCGCATTCGCTACTACTCTTGCAGCTCAAAATCCAGATTTAGTATCTCGTAGTGAAAATCCTATTCGGGAAATCTTCAAGAATCTCACAATTCAACGCCAACATGCAGAGATGGCATCTGGGAATTCCTCCCTGTCTTTAACAGAATATGAGACTACTGCTCGACTGTGTCGTCGACACAGAATTGGGGCACTGCCCGATGTTGCAAAACTTACCCCGAAGGCGTTACTGCAACCGCTTTTTCAACTTGCGAAATTGGACTCGTCCATTTGTGGACCGGCTCTCCTTCGAATTGTTTTGGAATCAATTATTGTTTCCTCTGGAAAAAGTGCCAATGACGACTTTGTGAAGGAGCTGGGAGCGTCTCTTGCCAGATTGCTAACTCGAGGTGGGATTGACCAGAGTGTTGCCTGTTTGTCGCTGATTTGGGAGTTGGGAATGGGTTTAGAAAGGGAAAGAATTATTCTTTCAATGATTCCAGAACCGAAATTACTGTCGACGTGTGCGATATCATCTGAAAAGGCTCTGATTGGTGTATCGATAATGGAAGAAGTGTTCTGTAATCTCGCAATGAGATGGTAAGTGTATACTTCGTTTTTCAAAGTGTATTTGCACCTCCCAAATTATCAATTATTTATTTGTAATGCATTGGTGATAAGGCAAATAGACAAATTTTAATCATTTAAGAGTTAATGAAACACCACTGAATTTAGATGGAACTTGAGTAGAGAAGAGATATCGGAAAACTCGAAGAGTCCTATCATATCGCATTCAGTGATTTTTTCATATTGAAATTATTCAGTCAGATCTGACTTTCCACGATCCAGACTTCAATTTTCAGTCCTTGGGGCGTTTGGTGGTCATATCTGCATAATTGGAGCTTATTGAACTTACTTCGGCAAGTTAAATCCTGAATATCCCGCAAGATTATTTTGCCTTCTCAACCATTGGACTCAAAATTAATTAAAGTAGCGACACCTGTTATCCTAGCTTAAAACACACAAATAAACATTGACTATCGTGACTAATTATTTGGTCATTTTTCAATTTTTCTGTCTAGTTACCGTGGGAAATAAGATTTCTCCCTTCTACTCTGATATAGAGTAATCTAACTTTATTTAACGCGATTGAGATCTGTTTTAGACGAAAGGTTTCTGATTCTCCTGTATCTGGACTTTTTCACTGATCGGTATAATTCAAATCACCTTTCACCCTAATTTCATATAACTTTATGGTATTTGGGGATTCCTTTTCCGTTCCCAACTTGCAAATAAGGCACAAACTTAGGTTCTCCCATTTTGATTATTGCACAAAAAGTGGCAAGCGATTGGTAATTAATTATTGCATTTTAATATGTTGATTGCCACTTTCAAGGATATTGATTTTGTCTGTGAACACAGCTTGTTATTGTTGTGAGTACTTTCCTTAATGGGGTTGAAAGTTGGATGTGCATTTAATAATTTGAATGAAAATTTGCTTCAGTCAATGCTAAAAGAATATACAACTAGACTTATGTCTTATTGAATGCAACTATTCATTTATATCAAATGGCAGGCGTCTTGATGGTTATCATTAGCCCTTTAGT